TAAAAAGAATATTAAAATATACTCTTAGGTGCCCATCACTCATCTTTTAAAAAAATTATCAGCTTTTTTTTATAATTAAGTCATAGCTGTGTACATTAATGCAGTTATGGGGTACAGTGTGCTGGTTTAGCATTTTTTAAATCAGCATTTTCTTAATCTTTTTACTCTATCTTCCATGTTATTCTTTTTTCCCTTGGTCTCTATAGTATGTTTAAAATAAATTCTAGACATCATGTCATTTACCATGTAAATGCATGTCAGTATGCATCCCTACCTGATCAGAACTTTTTATATAACAATCATGCTATTAAGACATTTAATTAGCAATAACTTTCTTTTTTTTGAGACACAGTCTTATTTTGTCGCCCTCAGCAGAGTACTATGGCATCATAGCTAACAGCAATCTCAAACTCTTGGGCTCAAGTGATTCTCTTACCTCAGCCTGCCGAGTAGCTGGGACTACAGCCACCTACCAGAATGCCTAGCATCAGGTGTCCTCAAACTACGGCCCCCGGGCCACATGCGGCCCGCCTAGGACATTTATCAGGCCTGCCGCCCGCCCACCGGATGTTTTTGCCACCGCTGCCTGTCCTGCTTAGCAGCCAACTCGTCCCGGGGCCCACAGTCCGGCCCTCCAACGGTCTGACGGACAGTGAACTGGCCCCGTTTAAAAAGTTTGAGGACCCCTGGCTAACTATTTCTAAAGATGAGGTCTTGCTCTGGCTCAGGCTGGTCTCGAACTCAGGAGTTTAGGCAATCCCTCTGCCTTGCCCTCCTAGAGTGCTAGGATTACAGGCATGAGCCACTGCACCCAGCCCTAGCAATAACTTAGCAACATCCAAATACTCTGTCCATAATGACTTTTCCCTAATTGTCTCAAAGATCCTTTATTTCCTAGTTGATCTGTTTAAACCAAAATTCAAACAAGATCCACACATTGCATCTAGTTATTGTTTATCTTAAGTATATTCAGATTCTGTAATGGTTACTTCCCCACTATATACACATTTTTCCCCCAAGCTAATGATTTGTTGTGGAAATTAGAACACATGTCCCACAGAATGTTCTACATTCTTCTGCATTTGACCAACTACTTCCCTAGGATGTAACTTGTTTCTGCTTTATACTGCCTATAAAAATGGTATAAAGATCTAGAGGCTTGATTAAATTTTGTATTTAAGAACATAAAGAGATGTTCAATATCACTAGCCATCAGAAATGCAAATTAAAAGTATACTGAGATATCACTACATACCTATTGGAATGGCTAAAATCAAACACAGTGGTAATAGCAGATGCTGGTGAGAAACACACTGCAGGATGGGAATGTAAAATGTATAGCCACTCTAATCAGTTTGGTAGCTTGTTACAAAGCAATTAATTTAAGTATATGAAAACTTGTGAGTTCATAAAGATACTTTTAAAAAGAGAAAAAAGTCAAAAACTAGAGAAAACAAAATTTAAAAACCAACCACAACATAAAGTAATTAGGGTATCAACTCTATACTCTGAAAATTGACTATTTATCTCCCTTCCTGGCAAGAACAAATAATCCTAGTTGATAAGGAAAAGTTCTTTATAGAAGAATTTCAGTAAATTAAATGTGAAAGGAAAAACGGAATTAGGAAATCAGTATTTTGAAACTCCTAATGAAGGAAAAGGTTCTTTTGTGAAACCATTGATGAAAGTTTGAAGGAAATCTTTACAGTAGGGGAACTAGGCTGTCTCACTAAATCCAGTGATTTGACACTTGCGGCATTAAAAGTGGAACAATAAGACCACATCCACTCCCTGAGGAGTCACAATAATAAGGACAGCATCACGATGTATGGAGTCCTTGTGCCCAAAATGCCCAAATCTAATCATATAGGGCAGATGTAATCTAATCACACGAAAAATCCCATTTACAGAAAATAAAAGAGATGGAAGGACAAATTACAGCAACCATAGGAAGCAAAGAGATAAGTTCAGAATGTGGGATAGATATAATACAAAACAACTGTTCT